GCGGGGTTGGCGGGCCGAGGGCAGCCGGCGGTGCCTGTGTCGGCGGCGGCTCGCTGTCCCCCCGCCGCCGGCGATGGGGAATGGGCTCTCGGACCAGACGCCGATCCTCTCCAGCCTGCCCTCCTTCCAGTGCTTCCACATCGTCATCCTGGGGCTCGACTCGGCGGGCAAGACCACCGTGCTCTACAGGCTGCAGTTCAACGAGTTCGTCAACACCGTGCCCACCAAGGGCTTTAACACGGAGAAAATCAAAGTGACGCTGGGCAGCTCGAAAACAGTCACCTTCCACTTCTGGGACGTGGGAGGCCAGGAGAAGCTGAGGCCCCTGTGGAAGTCCTACACCAGGTGCACGGATGGCATCGTGTTTGTGGTAGACTCTGTCGACATCGAAAGGATGGAGGAAGCCAAGACAGAACTTCATAAAATTACTAGGATATCTGAAAATCAAGGCGTGCCTGTCCTTATAGTGGCTAACAAACAGGACCTGAGGAACTCCCTTTCTCTCTCAGAAATCGAGAAAATGTTGGCAATGAGCGAGTTGAGCTCTTCTACTCCCTGGCATTTGCAGCCTACCTGTGCGATCATAGGGGATGGACTCAAAGAGGGACTTGAAAAACTACACGATATGATAATTAAGCGAAGAAAAATGTTGAGACAGCAGAAAAAGAAGAGATGAGTTTTGTTTCTACATTTCTATCTTAGAGTAGTTCCATGGTCAGAATTCAAAGTAACAGCTTCCGAAGCCTGACCTGCTTGCTTGGATGCTGTTACAGCTTAGTTATGTTAAACAATCAGTTGCACAAGCTTGCCCTGTGGCAGTTGTGCAGACACAGAACCTTTTGAAAAGCAAAAACAGAAAATCGTTTTTTCCCAAGGTTTCTGGCACTGTTATTTTGGATGCCCTATAAAGTAGTATAAAGTTATCAGGAAACAGATGGGTGGGTTAATGTGAGCTGGATGTCTAAATAGCCAAATAAAATGAGAGTTTTATGATTGGTGTTTGTATTCATATATTTGAGGGTGCATTTTTGCAAGAAACTTGCATTGAAGGTGTTCAGTGTTTTTAAACTTTCTATGCTCGTAAGTGGAGTGTTTTAGGTGAATATATACAGCTTTAAAAATATCAATTTCAACAATGTTTATGGAGTTAGCAATCTATTATTTCAGGAGACTGTGAGCCTTGGGGTTTTTTAATCTTGTTTAATAATTTCCACAAGAGAGTTTGGCTATATGGTATGTTTTTAATTTGGCACTTTTTGAAGTTGAATCACTTTTAGTTCTAACACTTGAAACTTCAGTGCTATAGATTCTTCAACTGATATAAGTAAGACTTGTTACACGAGTACACAATATGCAAGAGCATGGATCAGTTTTCCCATGTAGCATGATTTGGTGTGTAGTCTTCTTAGAAATAGCTGTGCATTGTTATGCAGTGCTAATTGGATTTAGAACATTCATGTAACTTGGAGAGGTCTTTCAGAAATCTGGTTTGCTATTCAAAAAATAAGGTACTGTGACATCAATATAATTAAATTTGTTGCAGTAAAGGAGATGCATACAGCAATTTTTAGGTTGCCCAAGCCATCTAGCGTTCTGGGCTCTTAAGATGGCAATAAAACTTGATCATAATGAAATAGAGCTAAAGTCAACAGAGCACACATTTTGTATCTGTAAAATGTCCTGGTTTGTTAGTTACATTGTTCGGTCACTTTCAACATAACCTTTTTATTACAGTTTTTGTAGTGCTTGTGATTAGGAATGTAAAGAAGTTTTTATACACTTGAAACACGTGACACTGGGAAAACATAAGTTTAAAGATGGCCTGTAGTCTGTTCTAATTTATGCTTTAAGCTGTTCTTGTTTACAAGTGTGCAAACAGTATTAAATGGGCAGGACAGTAGTCTAATGAGAAGGGAGAAGAGTTTTTCTTACTGGTACAGAACTTCAAAAGTTGTCTAGAAATCTTGATTATCAATTGAAAAGGGCTAAACTAGAGCCTGAATTTTAAGATGAACTTTAGTGGTGCTGTAAAACAGAATGTTAGACTTGTCTTGAAACTTCCACTGGAAACGTCAGACTTAAAGAACAATGTGAAGATTCATTTTCTCTTAATCAGCCAAGTTAATGCATTCTTTCCCACTGCTATGTATTAAGAAGAGCTACAAATCTGAAAATCAATGTAAGGTATTGACATCTGTATGAAATCACACTTCATAGGCAGCAGCTGTTTGTCCAGAGGATAACCAAAAATGCACTTTAGTGTTTTCTATAATTGAAAGTGACAGCTGTTTTTTTTTTTTAAATGACACCTTGATCCTTTTGAGAGAATTGAAGTAGCTTCTAGTGGAGCTTTTTGTATGTTGGTTATATATGTATCTGCACTAGTGACATTGAAAGTCACTTATTCAGTAATGTCTATATTTATAGAAACGTGGATAACTACTTAAACCTCAATAAACACAAATCAAAACAAGCCTGCAGGGAGAAGGTGTTTGACTTCCTTGAGTTGCAATGAAGTGTTCTTGTTGGCCTTTATGTGCAAATCTTGCTCTCAATAGCAGTAGAACTATGTGCATGAAACTAAAATGCTTATAAATGTGACAATGTTATAATCACAGGTATCTCATTAAAGACTTAATATATGGCACATACTTGTATCATATTCCATATGTTTGTATCAAAACACTGTTTGCTTCTAGCTGTAGCCACTTTTTCTCTCATGAAGTGGTAGTGTGTATTGTAAACCTTCCCTTCTCATGAACAGATTTAATGTTACGTACATTTGCTGGTGCAATCTTCAAAGTTCTGAAATAATATATAGTATTAACAGACTGTACAATGGTAGTATTAAACCCTTTAATCAGCTGAGACTAACATATTTACTTATGCTAGACAGTTTAACCATCTGACGTAATGTTACCTTTCTTATACTTAGCAAGAATACTTCCTTTATTATAAACAGAAACAGGCTTAAATCTTCAAAGAAATGCAGAGGATTCAGCCATCCTACTTCTTGATTTTAATGGAGAATGTGAGTAAATCCCTTACAATCAGTTGGAGATCTCAATGGCAGTATCTTTACAAAGTATCCCTTAATTGCTATCAAACACTTGTACACTATAATGATTCAAGATCACTCCGTTTTCACAGAAATATTTAGGATTCCTACCTCCCTTTTCCTCAAAATTAGATTGGTACAATTGGATCACATACCAGCTTTTTTTTTAAAGAAAATCCCTTATCTTGGATGAAAATGCCTCAAGTATAATGGATGGTTACCTATTACAATTGATTCTACATCTTTGAGTACTTTTTTGTCCCTAAAGGGGTGAGGCCAGTTTAGCTTGTACAACAACCTTCCAATTCTCCTCCCCCTCTCTGTCCTGACTAGTGAGTTGTATGCTACAGTTGTACAAGAAGGCATTAAAATGTCAGCCAGTCTCTCTTTTTATGGCTTATGAGTGAGGGCTGCATACTGTGGAGCTTAATGGTTGGGTAAAATACATTTTGTGGGAACCGATTACGCTCCTTGATCCAAGCCATGTAAATACTCTTTCCTCCCTACGGCAAGTTGTTCTGAATAAATATTGTTTGAAGGTTCCTCTGTTATGTTGTCAATGAGAATTGAGTGTACATCAGTTTGTATTAATGCACTTCTTGTTGGCTCACCTCTCTCTGATAACCTTTTACCAAGGACAGTGTATGGTGATCATAGAATGTGCAACTGTCTTGAGCCTTATGAGTCCACAAGGTATCTTCTGCAAAAGATCCTGGCAAGTTCATAAAGTAGCTCTGTTCATGTGTGACTCACTATTCCCTTGCTATAATATAGTATTGCATAACATGGCTCCCAGTCAACATTATCACTTCTTAAAAGAAAAATTCAGCCCATAGCTATAGTTTCTACAGGGAACAAGCTGGGATGTGAAAGGAAATCTTTGACTTTAGTTTATTTTAAATAAACTTGGTTTTTAATTCTTGTGTTCAAGTCACTCCACTGTTAGGGACACTAAAGGATTGGTAAATATCTCTTGTTGATGTAGGTTACTTTATAAGCTGGTTTAATAAAGGTAGTATATTCATATAAAACAATTCAAACATTTTAGGGAATACTTAGAAATGTGAAACTGCTTAATGCAGCTGTGTTGAATTAGATAACTTTGCCTTCACTATTTGAATCTGAAAGGATAGTCATCCTTAAGTCAACTACTGTGAGAAAACACACTTGAGACCTAGTCAAGGAAATTATTTAGCTTTTATCTTTTAAAAATATAGGGTTACTTCCTTTGATTTATATATGTTCAATAACTTCATACATACTTTATTTTTCATGGAAGTATATGAATTTATATTTGTTTTAGCTAGAAAAGAGTATTAATCTGTGATACAGTGCAGGTCCTAGCCTTACATTAAGCTGAGCATTGCATTGAACGTGTATTGGCTAATCAGTTTTTCAGTACTCTGACTTTTAACCGCTATACATGTCAGCAAAACAACACTTGAGAGGTTGCTGTTTGCTAACTTAAATCATCCCCCCCCCCCCACACACAACTAAAATAAAATCTTTGTATCAACTGAACAATAGCTATATGTATTTTATTTCTGTGTAGACTAAATGACTACACACTTCTTATATCGCTGGTGTTTTTGTTTGAGGTATTTACAGGTTTTAGATGTGTACTGATGTAAAAATTGAGTCACAGGGCTGTCCACAGATGTACTTAGGAGCATAACCCCCTATTTGAGTCTCAGATCTCCCCCTTCCTCCTTCTTTTCCCTCTGTGGTGATCCCCGAAAGTGCTGCTGATCCTTTAGGTGCATAAACTTGTCTATATTTTAGAGGTGCCTGTGTTTTAGCCTCTGGCTACATGGAGTGCCTCATACTAATATCTGACCCCCTGTCTTCCTGTTTAATCTCCAAAGCAATTCACAAACCAGGGGATGGAGTTCAGAGTCTGCCTACCAGTTTAGCTCCTGTTCAAAATCTGGCCAGAGGAGGAGAAATTGTCACTGTCTACCTTAAACTCACCTGGAATATAGGAAATTCAGGTTTAATTCTCCCACATCTCAGCACTTTAGCCACTGAGCTAAGCAATTCTGATTTGGGCAATTCTTTGTGATTTCTCATATTCAATTTCAGTGGGTGCTGTGTGCGCGATTGCAGGAAGGATTTTCCCTTAGTGATACCTGTTGGGCTCTCTAGGGAACCCCCTGGAGTTATGCTTCCATGGAAGCGCATATATACCCCTGCTGCCCATCCACCCCCTCAGTTCCTTCTTATTGCCCATCACAGTTGTTGGAGTGCTCTAGTCCTTGCTTTTCTGCAAGTGCATTCCTTAGTGTATCATTTACATAAAATATATTAGTTTTTGGTTGTATAGTGTAAGTTATTAGAATTAGTGGGTTTTTCCCCAGACTGAGGTATACCTCAGTCCTAGGGCTTCAAACTGTGACAAGTGCCTGAAGCCTATGCCCTGTGGTGACCCACACAACTCTAGTCTCAACTGCTTGGGAGAGGGTCACAAGGCAGATGTTTAAAACTCATGGAGGTGGCACTTAGCCACAATCAGCCCTGGAATCAGCACTGATGGCCTCCATGCACAGTGCACAGACTTTGCTGCATCAACCATTGGCACCAAGGTGACTAGTTCTGGCAGAGACATAGTGCCAATGTGGGGCACTGCTCTCAATCCCCAGTGCTGCATAAGAAGAAGAAAGCAGAGAGGAGCAGCTCTCCTTCCCAGCATGCAGCCTGTCTGTGTCCACAGTCGGGAAACTCCAAGACTACCCTGCCATGCCATCTGCCCCCATGCCAGCCTATACCATTGCTAAAGGGCAACTGAGCCTGGTGTAGGTGGACTCTGTGGAGTTGGATGACACTGTTGTGGAAGATATTGACTATCAGTCCATTCCAGAGATGTTTGAGGCTGTCAGAACCCATTGAGTTCTCCTGGTCTGGCACTGAAGATGGCACACTGAGCACACTGCTTGTGCCTCTGCACTGATGATACCACCAGGGTCTACAGCACCAGGGGAGAAGCACTGGCTCAATCTGTGGTTTTGGCAGTGGTGCTGATGCCTTGTCTGCCAGCAGTTAGACATAGAGGTAAGCCAGCCAGTATGATGCAGCATTCCTCTTGATGCTGTTCACCCACACCGACTTCTTTGACATCACCCTGATCCACTCCGGAATATTCTTTGGAATTGGAAGCAGAGTCCTGTGCATCCAAGACAACAGGAAATCGATCCCAGTCTCGGCACCATTCTCAGCACTGCAGCACTGCCCCTCGACAACATGGCCAACTCAATGGCAGCTTCTTATGCAGTGGCCCTTTTGGACATAGTGGGCATATCATCTGGTCCAGGGGCCACTGCCATCTCTGGCAGCTTCAGTATATTTGGCCCCTCATGGTGCCCTGTCTGCCACGCCACTTCCAGGGGGTCCTCGATTGGAGTCTAGGTACAGCCTCCAGTGAGCCAGTCCTTGGCCACTAATTGAGGGTGAAACCTCTGTGACTTCGCAGCCCCAGGCCACCTAGCAGCCACTTGAGGCTTAAGGAGAGGCACTACAGGAACCTGAGGACCCAGTTACCCTTGAAGCGTCATTGTCCTTACCGCCTGACGAAGTAGTTATGGGGACATTACCCTTCCTCTCAACCATAGATGGAATGGCCCACCAGGACTTGCTGAAAATAGTGGCCCAAAAGCTGGGGGTGCAAGAAGAGTTATCAGAGAAGTCTGATCTGATAGGGGACATCCTCACACCCAAAGGTCCAGATATAGTGCTTCTTCCATTTATCAAGACTGTGGCCAACATAACCAGGGTACTGTGGTAAACCCCGTCCCTTAACCCCCAACAGCCAAGGTAGTAGAGTGTCCATATTTTGTTCCTTAACATGACCATGAACATTTGTTTACAAACCCAGTTCCAGGTACCCTCACGGTGCAAGCAGTAAACCACATAAAGAGGCTGGGTCAACCTAGGCCAACCCCAAAAGATTTAGACCTTTTCCACCAAAAGGCCTAAGCCCCAGGATATGCCTTTAACTCTTGGTTGGCCCCAAGTTCAAAGAACTCCCCTCTGATCCCTGACAGGAGTTTGGGGCAGTAGCTGAGGAAGGCATGGTGGTTTCTTATACAGCCCTGCAAGGATTTGGCTGATTCAGCAGCCCTTACTATGCCCATAGCCATGGCCATGCATAGGAACTTGTGGCCGCAGGTGTTAGAGATTCCACCAGAAGTCCAGAACATAATCCAAGATCTGCCCTTTGAGAGGTCATGCCTTTTCTCAGACCAGACCAACACCAGGTTACATAGCCTGAAGGATTCCAAGGTGACCCTCAGGACCCCATAGAGTAGGCCTTTTAAGCCCAGCCATCCCCCTGGCCATATTAACCTGGACCCAGGCAGGATTTCACTAGGTGCAGGGGCAGGAATGGCAACAATAGTAATGGGAGGAGGTTCTCATAATCCTCCTCTGATCAGTGTTCGGACCCCTCCAATAAAGGCCAAGGCCCCAAATTGATGTGTGCCCGGGGACGGGGTTAGAGTTCTCCCCTTGAATTGTCTTCCCTTTGTTAGTTATCTGTCTTGATTCCACAGTGCTTGGGCACAAAGTATTCTACCCCACTCTGCTCCCTCCCACACCCCTTCCCCATCCCTCTTCGGGGAGCATGCTCATGAGCACTAGGAGCAATATAAGGAGGTTCCTTCAGAGATTGGGGCACGGGGTTTACTCCTTTCCTAATCTCAGAAGCCAAAGGTGGGTTTTGGTCCTTACTGGATCTTTGGGCAAGGCAAAGGTTCAGAATGATAACCTTGGCTTCCATTATTCCCTCCCTCGGTCCAGGAACTGGAATACTACCTTGGTTTAAAAGACACTTATTTTCATATATTGATCATTCTTGCTCACAGATGATTCCTCTGGTTTATGGCTGGCCACTCTCACTACCAGTTGGTGGTGCTCTCCTTTGACCTCTCCTTGGCCCCATGGGTGTTTATGAAATGCATAGCAGTTGTAACTGCCTTTCTCAGAAAACATTGGGTCCAGGTGTTTCTATACCTGCAAGACTGGCTTATCAAGGGCCCATCAGAAAGTCAGGTGTAAGAGCACAAGGAGCTGATGCAAGCTACATGCCTCCAACTGGGGCTTATGTTGAAGACTGCCAAGCCCACACTCCTCCCCACACAGCAAATAGAGTTTGTAGGTACCTTGTTGGACATAGCCCCAAGCTAGGGTCTCTCTCCCCAGGCAAAGATTCCTAGCAGTAAGGGACATTATAGAACGGCTATGGTTATCCCCTATCACAGGGGTCGGTAACCTATGGCTCACTAGGAAGCCAGATATGGCTCTTCTGGAGCCCCGACTCAGCCTCTCTTAGCTCCCCCCTCAACAGGGAGCCAGCGCTGGTGCTACAGCCTTACAGCCCCCTGCAAGATTGGAGCCAGCGCTAGCTTCCTGCAGGGGTGGAAGGAGGAACAGGGGGAGAAAGCCCTGAGCCTCCCCGCCAGATCTGGTGTGCGGGGAAGAAGCTCCAGCATTTTTAGCTCTGCGTGCTGCCATTTTCCTTCCCCTGGGACATGCTTCCTGGAAGCTTCCT